GCCGTGCTCCTGTCTCACTGTAGTAATCTGTTTATCTCTGACTGCTCCCATGATACCGCGCCTTAAACGGTATTGGCTCCGCAGAGTCAACTCTATTACCCCACATTATTTTTATAGCCTCATTCTTATCTGCGTTGTACGACCTAGTCCCAAAGCGCCGATTAACCCATTCCCGCTTAGTCCGTCCCATACTGAATATTACATATGGACTTCTGAGACGTCACCTCTGTTGGTTCGGCTGACTTATTGTTTTCCTGTAAACGCTACGTGGAGATATTTGTGGGCCTTTCCACGCTTTACCAATGATCCACTCTCATCTAGAACCTAACCTTTTCTATCGCTTTCTCTTTTCATTTCTTTTTAACTCGTACGTCCGGCTTTACTGTCCTGCCGTTATCCTCTCTCACCGTCTGTATCTATCCGCCTGCATTTATTTCCTATTATCCATGGCCTTTTCTCTTATTGCGCCCCAACTTGTATTCCCACAGCTTACAGTCATTGCGCCTATTCAAGTTATCTTCGTGCGCATGATCTTGTTAGCTCTGAACTCGCTCCTGAGTATTGGCGGCACTCGGACCTTTGCTAAGTGTTGCTTGACTAGTACTTCCATTAGTATGATCAAATTCCCACTCTTCCTATTCCTATGCTCTTTACCTTATGCTCGCACTGGTATACTATTGAGACCGTACGTGTCATAACGACTCCCAATGCACGGCAGTTTTGGCCCCCTGTGGCCATTTTCCTAGATTCTGAAGGCTTTTGGACTGTAGAATCATGAACGCTTTAGCGTAATTACTCTTACGAACTACTCCTCGTATTGCCGTCGGCATTCATTCGCTCCTAGCCGATTCCTTGAAATTCCTTTTCCTCTTGGAATGTTACTCTACCTATCTTGCTCCCGCATTCGGTCTCAACCTAGTTGTCCTCAGTTTCACCTAAGCTGCCTCTCGCATTCTGGCTGCTGTCATCATCATCGGTTTACCTGTTTCTCTTAAACCATCGCATCATTCGCTTAACTTTGGTTAAAACGCTTTGGTATATCGGTCTTTTGACCCTACTCGTGCAGAACCTTCTTCCCACGTAGTAGCTGTAGTCTGAGTCACACCAGCGACGTAATGTATGGAAGGCGCTTGCGAAGTAGGTATACTAAACAAAATTACATAAGTTTGAAGGTATCATAGGCACCGGTGAGCGCCACCAGTCTGTGTTATTGCTTCTTGATTCATTGATGTCTCTGTTTGGCCACCTCTTGTCCGTTGCCCGTTTTTCCCGAGATTCCCACAGGTACATCCGCCAAAACAAGAAGGTTTATCCACCGGGACTGGCCGACCCATTCTCAAAGCGCTTGGTCCTTTCCCCAGAAAATGAAAACCCACACACTGGTCCAAATGGAGCTCATTCCGCCATTCCGGAGGCGCTACCTTCATGGGGTCTATACAAATGGGTTTAGCTTGCCTCGTACTCAGAGAACAATTTACTCACCTGGAAGAATATATGCACATGGATCCCTCATCCCACAACCATAAGACAAACAACTCTGGCGTTATTACCTTCACTGCATCAAACATTCCTACTCGCCAGTCACCTGGAGCCATTCTGAGGTCATTTCACGGACAGCGTTGCGCACGTATACGTGGCTATTCCGATGGTCTTCCATGGAATTTTCACTTGGCTACGGAAACAGTTACACTTACTTACATTTGCAGGAATCCCAAATCCAGTTTGCGGGGAATGGCGTTTTTGCCTATTAAGGACATATTCAGCCACAAGAAACAACTTCACTCACCGACCCCATGACAAGTCCAGCGTAGATAGCTGGACACGGTTTGCGAGCCGAGCAAAAACATAATAGAAGAGCCGGTCTCTATTAACAATTTGTTTACTCACCTGCATCATTATCATTCGAATCTTCGAATCTTGCATCATTGACCAGCTTCAACGACTGCTGGCGTATCAGAACTAAGCCATTCGGCCACCCAACGAAGAATTTTGGCTGTCAACCGACTGCGAATAATAGAATGCTAGATCGGTCCATACGATGCATAACCGACTTGCACTACTGTTCAACGAAAGCTACGGCAGTGTTCCAGGACTTGGTGGGTTTTCGCTTGGCAAGCGTTCTCCCTATAAAAAGCCATAAATATCCGCTTAACAACACTGCAACGCGGCTGATGTGGCTCGCCACGAAATAAAGTCACAGCTATGCATTTCACACTGACGCAGTCCTCAGCCTTCTACATCGAACCTGTGCAACTAATTCTGCTATGAAGAATGCTTTGTTGGAGCACAGATCATCCGGACAATCGTCTCAAGTCCACAGATAGGAAGCCTCCATTTAGCACTGGCGACACTTTCAAACACATTCAAGCAAAACAACAGGAAAATTTTACCAATCCCATAAACGAAGCTAAAAACGCCTACATGCACACCTATATACATTCATGTTTAAACATATGCAACAATCCCATTGTACAATAACTGATCACATTTTGTACTCATAACATGATCATGCCTGCGCAGGCGTGCCTCGCTTGGTCGAGAATACAAAATTTATTTATTTATTTATTTATCTCGCTCCTGTGCTCACGGATCACTACCTGGCGAAATTACCCCCAACGTGTGTTTTGACGGATTTTTGCGCGCCAGAGCGCCATAATGTCACTGGGTCTGACTATTACCTGACAGTATGCTCACTCATATGGACAACATCTTTTCTTTTATACCTTTCATTAAAACAAAATGTTTTAACATTCCACAGAAGCTATGCTTGTATGCATATTTGAGCACGCCTTTACAGGTGTGTCTCGTTTTACCGAGAATATACTATTTATTTATCTTTTTATTTATTATGTGCCACCGTAGGATCCACTAGTAACTGAAGGCTTAGTCCAAACTCTATTGCTGGTCATTCTTCTCTCTCCTAGCGCGCTGATATATGTCGTTTGTCGTATTTACGCCAACTCCACTTGACAGCAGCTAGTCATTGTGGGCACCATGTAGATTACAAGAAGCCACTCACTGACTCTCCAACCTTCATTCTCTTTTGCCGTCTGTTTCTTAAAGCTTCGCTCACATGTCGGTTTCTTCATTGAAACTGTAGGTATCCAGTATTGGTCAAACGTCTTAATGACATGGCTACAAAGCAATGATTCATTCTTTTCTAGAAACACTATCTCTGCTTAGCATCAGCTAGTCGCCATAGGTCCCATTTAACTTTGCGGATATCATGAGCTCGTTCCCTCTTACAACGTTCATTCTCACGGATTGTTTGCGTCACAACTTAGCTGGTCTTGAGCTATCTCTTACTCTCACTGGCCTATAGGTACACTCAGCGGCCCTATAGGCATATACTTGTGACCAAGCGTCCGATTGGAATAGCTGCATCTGGTGACTGAGTCAGTCCTAGCGCCACCATCCGTCGGTCGTCGTAAATTCGGCATCTCTGTTCAGAAGTAGCTAATGGCCATTGGCCCCATGCATATGCGATGATCCAGTGCTTGTTAGTAGCCACCCCGTATCTCAATAACCTTTACTCCTTTAGAATATCTGCATCCAGTCCTTCTGCTGCCCTGCCACCAATTGATCTTTAAGACTCTCTCGCAGCAACCTATTTATCTTCGCTTATTATGCCCCCACTCTCGGATTACACTAACTACGCGCTGTTCATGCACCTGACAATCACTGCCAACATTCTAACTCTCTTTGCTCTATCCCCAAGCAATTATCGACTCATATCAAACGGATACTCATACTTTACTTAATGGTGCAACGCTCTTGTCTCTACGCAGGCGATAGCCACCCACCTATACGGCTAATGATTCTATAGGATACTCAAACGACATTTTCAGCATAATTATTGTTGCACAGTGTACATGCTTTTGTCCCAAGCCCAAATGTTATAACACAAGACATTAACAATATTCAGCTCCATGCCTGTTCTTGCGGTCTTCTCTCGGTTGTCCCACACTTTCCCTTTTCTCTGGGGTCGGGGACTTCTTGGAGATCTGGGCTTGGACTGAGGAACAGTTTTGGCCCAAGACGTACGTAACAACCCACAAGGACTTACATGGAGCATGGTAGCACTCCGAAAGGACCGACCTACAATCACCATAACCCTTGTCCAGTATGGAAAACTGGACATATCCTCATACTCCCATACATTATACATCTGAAATATCTGGACAGAAAAAAATTGAACCTTTTGCTCACCTGGACATCCAACAAGAAGAAAAATCGCGATGTCACTCTCCTCCACCGACCTCAAAAATCACGGCGACCCAGATCAAAATACCCGTCCAACTAACAGAGAAAACTAGAAGCCATTACTCCGCGAAAAACCGTAGGTGAAACCAGTCGTCAAGCGGCTTTGCCAGTTCAACATTAATGTTCAAAATGCTTTCCGGCAGTGTTGCAGGAAGTGGTGGGTTCTCGCCTGGCAAGCGTTCTCCCTATAAAAAAAGTCACAAATGTCTGTTTAACAACACTGCGACGTGGCGGATGTGACTCGCCACTGAATAAAGTCACAGCCCACAACTACATACTAGACTAGACTCACATATCAACTCTTCCCGACACCGTTTCAACTACACACGGTTGAACCCAATGTATCGTCGTAATACATAAATGCTTTTAAACCTTGATCATTCCTAAGTTGGTGCGTTTCTATGAAACTGCGAATAAACTATTTATTTATTTATTTTATCCTGGACATATGACCAATTTTCTACTGTTACTGTTACAGTTGTAAAAAATGTTTGTACAGTTGTACATATCTGATCATGCCTCCATGGGCGTGCCTCGCATAGTCGAGAATAAAGTATTTATTTATTTATTTAATTGTTAGCTAAATGCGATATAGCCCGAGGCATCCTCCACTGCCATGCAGGCACCTGCCATGCAGATGACAGCGGTCGGCCTTCCGGCGTCAGGACTTCCGGTTACGGCAGCTATGAATCGACATAGCATTTTGTGGAAGCCGTACGGGCGAATTGGTATTACTTATGAATGGAAGGATTTTGGTGAGTATTTTTGTTCGTCGCAATCAGCCGACAATTCAGATATGTCGACCAGCTGTGCGGAAAAGCACCAGACGGCCGTTTCGCCCCATTGGGGTTCATCAGTGGTGCGCATCCATCGGTCCTCTGCGGAGGATGGAACCCATGACCGCTACTTGCTCTTGCCAACTAGCCCGCAGCTTATGCAACTGCGCCATGGAGGACGGTATCTGACTATTGTGAATTGTTAGCTAAATGCGATATAGCCCTGACGCCGGAAGGCCGACCGCTGTCATCTGCATGGCAGGTGCCTGCATGGCAGTGGAGGATGCGTCGGGCTACATCGCATTTAGCTAACAATTCACGATAGTCAGATACCGTCCTCCATGGCGCAGTTGCATTAGCTGCGGGCTAGTTGGCAAGAGCAACTAGCAGTCATGGGTTCGATCCTCCGCAGAGGACCGAAGAATGCGCAACACTGATGTGCCCCAATAGGGCGAACCGGCCGTCTGGTGCTTTTCCAGACAGATGGTCGACATATCTGAATTGTCGGCTGATTGCGACGAACAAAAATACCTCAGCCACTTGTTTACTTTGCATTTGCATTCCATCCGCAAATTTGGATTACCTGCCGTGTTCCGATTCACCAAGTTCAAAGGTGGCCTGATTGCGAAGAGCAAACTGCGGTGGTCGAAATAAAGCTGGGAGTTACTGGACTGACCTTATCCATTGAGACTGCACTGGATTAACCCAATAGCACTGGATTAATGTCAACGTCGCGGTGATATGTGTTCATCCGGCGCATCCTAAAAGGAGAGATGGGGATAGAGCTGCAGGCCATTTTACAATTTATTGCTGAAAGTTCAACTCGAAGCCAAAGCTGGGGAATGTTTAAAAGCTAAAGGCTCCGTGTTGGTTCAGCTTTCGCTCTACCACCTCGCCTTGCCGACGGTTGGAACGACTAACCGAAGCATGTGCTTAATGCCATGAGCAAAGCATGTTTGAGGCGAATGTTGGGCTTTAATATCCTGTGTAGCATAGGCCTGTTTAGCTTTCCTTGAAGCTTCTACAGGCCCCTGTAGAATATCGTTTTGCAACAGGTAGCGTCCTCCAAACAATGGTCGAGAAGCGATGGAGCTGACGAAGGATATTTTCTTCTGCTCTCTGCAATCCTAGGATTATATGAACGAAACATGCTGATAGCCATAGCTGCTGTGCACTAGTGACTCCGTCAGACTTATCGCTCATCCGAATTGCTACTTGAGCAAGTCTAACTTTCGGCAAATTACCGGTCGGGATCAGTCGAGCAACACAGCTAGCTTGTGCAAGCTTATGAACTATGCATAAAAATACGCAGTATGTCATGTCTACATTTAATATTTGAGTACAGTTGTTAATATATTCTGCTTATCTGTATGCACAACAGCCTTGAACCTGGAAAATTTACGAATATGTGTTATTCAAAACTGGGGCCAATGTAAGCACAATACGCACGACTTTGAATTCTAGCTTGTGCTGTGCTTGCAACAGCTTCAGTCGGCAGAAAGCGCTAAAAAAGTAAAAGAATATTATAAGTAAAAGGCAGTGCTTTATTATAACAAAGTAAACTAACATAAAAAGGGTACAATACGTTAATGTTCTAATGCGACTCATGTTGATCAGTAAGCGTATAGCAGTAATTTGACTATTCGACTATCATACACCCATTTGTAATGCACTAATAACAATACATTTTACGAATATACACATGGACTCATTTGTTATGCGTGTAGCTCTTTTCTAGACAAATAAGTGCAGATGTACCAAGCAACCAAAGTTATTTTCTTTCTTGTGAGGTGGATGGTATCCTACTTGCTTGTTCTGTAAGAAAACCTGTATCGCAATAGTACTTATATTTGGGTGAGCCTGTACATAAAATTTAGATTGTATGTTTAGTCATTATCTTTTCGTACAGGCAAAGATTCTTAATCTCTCTTATGAGAGGAGGGGTTAATGTTCTCGGTTTATGTGCTCATTTCTAAAGAAGTTAAATGTGAATGAACATCTTTTCAACCTAATCTACATTTTAAATGTTGTGTTGAGTTCGCTATCCTTTAGAAGATTAACCCACTGCATTTTCTGTTGACTTAAAGACGATTTCGAAGGTGGAACATTCCCGGGATATTCCTACTGTTCCTGTCCAAATTGAACTTGAATTGGTATGCCTGACGCCTTACGCTTAAACCTGAAATATTATAAGCGGTCTGTGTTCTACATCGTACCGCCGTGGAATACTGTGGTCGCCGTGGTAACGTAGTTTACACTCGACATATTTTCTGAGAGATTTAAAATGAGTTACAAGAGTTCTTCCATCTTTCTGCAGATAGTTCGACGCAAAGCAACGGTATGTAAACCAAGATGGCTTTGCGTTTGCTCTGATATCGCTTTGCCAACTCGAGCTGAGAATGACTGGATCACTTTAACTGAGTTCGTCCTTGTGCACAAACAGTGGAATATTTTAGACGATTGTTGGACCTCTATCTTCTGGAAAATCATGTATCTTGCTGTTTTGACTGTGACCGCAATGTTACTTCCTGGAAATCTATGCCGCATCAACTCGCATGATTCCTGCACTCAGCGGGAAGTGATGGGGCTGACAAAGGATTTCCTTCCTACTCCCTATAAACCACTGAACCAATGTATTATGCGTCGATATCGGCATAGTGAACATTTCGGTCGTCACATTTACGTAGGGTTTGATTTTGGAAAGCAAGTGAAATAATCAAGAAATAGTAATTGGCATAATTAAGACACAACACAAAACGCTACAATGCTAAGTGACACTTGTCTTATTTTATTTATTATGCTATTTGGTCTGCGCGAGTGACTTTATAACTCATAGTGAGCGAATTCGGCCACAGTTAGTGGTACTTGTAACGTAAAATAATGGGCATAATAAATGAGTGTACCACTTGGTACATTGACGCGTATGGTTTTGATTGGCCTTGAGTTAAGCCGCTCGCCGATAGGATTGCAAGCCTGGCTTGCAATCTTTATGTCACCTTTTCAAATTTGCGGAGAAGCAAACATCCTCCCGGTACAAGCCCACGCACGACCAGTGGTGGTCGCGTAGCTGCAAAACATTGGTACAGTATGCCGGCGTACTTCTGATGACTTCTATTCGGATATTATTTCCGACCTGAAAATTGTGTTTACCGTACGGATAAGGGCTAATATAAAACTATTTCCAAGTGTCCTAAAGATATCTAACCTTTACTTATGTAGCCCGCTCAGTTGCCGTTAATTTATCTATCACCTTTTGCGTACACCTATCAAGCACTAATGATTTGGAGATTACTATCCTTGGCCGCATTAGCGTACTTGCAAATTTTGGCAATTATTATAATTTGACTCTAATCCATGCTGCAGTAATTAGCTTTTGCGTGCATTTCCCTCACCTTGCTTTCGTATTCTAAGTTAAATTGCCTGCTTTATCACTATTAACTTCGTAAATGTTTACCAAATACCTTGAAATAACTTTACTATTCGACAAATTTCCTATTTTACTTACGTTTTATTTTGTGACAGCTGTTGCTGCGTATACAATGTTTCACCTAGCAGTGTTTAACCTACTTTGCTCCTTGACAACCGGTTCATTGTTTCGAAAACATTTTCAATGAATTGCATCTTAAGTAAACCACCTACAACTATTGTTCTTTCAAATACTGTCGTGCAAACTTTCTTCTCAGTGATAGTTCCCTTTCACAAATGAAGGTTTCTTATTTTGTTCAAGCTGCTTGAATACATACGAATACATTAAAAGGCTTTGTGGGTGACGCTTATATCTAATCAATTGGGTCGAAATATTTGCAATGCTGGGTGGCGTTTTTGTATTTTAGGGCTCACATTAAAGATTTGTTTTTGTCATTGTTTCGGATATTAATCACCATTCCTAAACGTTACCTATCGGTATTAAACGTAGTACCATGTTCCGATCCACTTATCAGGTTGCGTGCAATTTTATCGCTTCTACTTTAGCTATACTTGACTCAAAATACGGAATACATTGCCAGAAGGATAGTAGCAACAGTTTTATGTCACTGCTACTAACATCCATTCAAAAGTCGGCTGCATCATTATTTGTGATTTAGGTTACAGTTATAAACATGCACATTTTTTCTTTTAGAGTGCATATCAAAACTGTTGGTGTAAGGTCGACTTTTACCACCTAGAGTGGGAAATAGCTCAAGTACATCTAAACAGGGCTTAGTTGTATTAGTTTGAGGCAGCCAAGTGATTGATTGTTTAGGGTATAGTATTAATACGGTTATTCAATAAACACGCTATTTATCTCAGTAGTACGTAAATGTAATAAAAGAAGCAAACATAAGTCGTAAACTCAATAGTCTACCAAGCAGACGACGCACGAAAAGGCTCAACAAGAAATCTATTGAAGAAAGTAAAGGGAAAAGGGAAAATAAAAGTTCGGTAAAAACGTAATGAAACATGCACCAAAATGTTTTCTGCCAATGTTTGAATGCTAGTTGAATACGAAACTCGGTTTTATCGCATCCAATTTTATATTGCTTTCCGTCAAATGAAAAATTAATACACTACTTTATCTATTATGCATTCATTATGAAGTTTGGCTTTTCTTTATTAATGTTTTCACAATGGCTTTTTAAACAGTTTACATAAGGATTTTGCTTGAACCATTATTTTATACTACTAGTTTGGCAATTGAAAATAGGCAAAATACAAAGCGGTATTTGCGACAGATTCTAATAAATATAATCTTAAAGGTTTGCAGGGTGTAAAACAGATACCGTTTGTTCACGATTATAATGGTGGTATTACTGGTAAATTCTGACAAGTTTGGTGTCTTTACGTTTAGCTACAGCCAACCTAACACAATTAAATATTTGGTAGCCCGACTGTACTGGTTACAAAACTGCTTTGCATTATCGCAAAATTTGACACTAAAAGAATTGGCGAAAATCTTAGGATTAAGGTGTCATTTTCCTCGCGTAAGAACAGGTTGCAGA